CTTAGGACTCGTCCCCAGGAGTGGCCTGAGCACTTCCACGGGGGAAGCAGCAGATGTGACTACATGGGTGACTCACCCAATGAATGTGTATGAGGAGGCGCCTGCTTGGTCCGGCCCATGATCCGAATATCACAAATGGCAGCTTCCGTGGAATCCCGGGGGATAAACTTAATGCACAGCCTCTTCTTTCTAAAAGCCACCTCTCTGGAGAAAAGGACAACAGAGAAAGCATGAGTCACAGGGATGCCCCACCTCTGCTCTGAAAATCACGTCTTCCTGCACGTCCCTCTGTGCTGGCTAGAAGTGCCAGGTCATCCTTACCACTGGACCCCTGCCTTCCCTGGGTCTGTCATGGCCAGGGCTGTGACAATAAAAGTACATCAGTCACCTGCTCCCACAGGACATGACCCAATCAGCCAGCCATGAAGGGGTCCCAGGAGTCCACACACAGCTGTGAACCGTCGGGAGGCGGTTCTAAAGCCCACGAGCTCAGAAGACGCCCACACACAGCCACCCAAGCATCAGCACTTCCACCACATGCGCTTCTTGTCTTAACTCTGTATTCACATTCTCGAAATCCTCAAACATACCCCACAAACATGCCCCCACCATCCCAGTTCAGTGAGGTCCACAGGGAACAGGTTGGCTCCAGCTCTTCCCCAGTCCGTAGTTTTGCTGGATCCTCAAGATGACTCCCTGGCACCACGTAGTTCCCCATCACCATCTCAGTAGGCATCAATGACAGGTGCTTTTATACAGCATGACCACCTGCTATTACCATCCCTAATACAAACTCCTTGATATCACTGACAGTCTCCATGCATGTTTTCGCCATTATGTCAAAAACATCATTGTTCTGTTGGTTTGTCTAGATCAAAGTCCAGGCACTGGACTTGCACTTTGTTGGGTGGTTAGTTCCCTTTGGTCTCTTTATTCTGTCCTGATCTCCCCCTGCTTTCTCCGTCTTTGCAGCATACATATGCTCAAGAGATTGGGCCATTCCCTCCTGTGACAGAGCTAGAGCTGAATTAGGATAAGCAAAGTGTGTCCTTCCCACTTCTGATGGGTTCTTGTGTGGGGGGCTGGGACAGTGTTCACCAGTCCCCAAGAGCTGTTCCTGGAGCAGTTTTTCTAACACTCCGGCAACTGTTGCTAAGATCCAAGCCTTTGTAACAAGTTTCAAAATGGTGATTTGCTAGCTGCCATTCCTCCCACACTAATCAGTTGCCATTCTATACACAAAATAACTTTTCTCAACCTACTAGTTGGCCTAATGGATATAGACTTTATATAGGAAAGGAGAGACTCTTTTCTCTCACTTGTCAAATCTTAGTGTAATGAGTTGGTACCCTAGCAACCACCATGGTGACCAGTGAGGTTTACTTTGTCATTGTTGTTCATTTGTTGTTTTGAACACAAACTTCAAACAGTCCATGAGTCAGTCAATTGGGTCTTGGTTGAAATCCCAACTCCACCATTTTCTGGCACTGTGACCTTTGGAGAGTTGCTTAAACCCCTGGGCATCAGTTTTGTTATGTGGAAAAGGAAGCTGGTAAAATCCAGCATCCTTAGTGGATGCACAGTGATTATATATGATTCACTTGACCCATGCCTGGCACACAGTATGTGCTCAATAAAAAACAGTCATGAGAGTTCTTGCCATCAAAATGATAAGTAAGCCTCTAGTGTATAATCAATGTCTGTGCTTGTACTGACTTTCCAGACCTTCTGGCTCTGTGGTAGGAAATCCGCACATTATAGCACACTCGCACAGAGGAACAGAGAAGCAGATGAGGGAAGGGCAGACCTGCCCACAGGTTCTATGTGGGGAACAGAATCAGTGGTGTCATCTGGTTCTTAATGTCTTGGGTGGGGGGTTGTCTTTTTGAAGAAATTCAGAAACACTGTGGGTTCTTTCCCCAGGTGTGGATACTGAGGGCTAGATGAGATCTACAAGCGGAAATAACGGCCTACATTCAGACCCCAAGCACTGTGCCAAATGGGATAGGGATCCTGGAGGCGGGGAGGGAACCACAGCAACCTTCACTTTCAAAAACTACCAGCTGCTTAAGATCATCTCTGAAAGTGTGAAGAAGGCGAGGCCCTCCCTCAGAGTAAGGTAAAGTACAGGTGTTTTACTTGCTTTTGTCGAAGTGCTCTTGGTCCCACTCCTCCATTTGCAGCCCCCTGGGGACCAAAGCATTACACATGCTTTGGCAAGCCTAATTTTAAGTGAACACGTTCTACACAGTCAACAGAAATGTGTTCAGTCAAGCTAATGGACACAGAGGAAGTACACAGCACTTTACTGAAACAGTCTTCCAGTTGATAAGTGCTATGTGTATTTGAAAGTAATTACAGATGTCTCACCTTTTTGGCTGACTATAAAATCAGGGCCTTAAATACTCCCATGGGACACAGGGCTGCCCACAGGGCTCTTTGGCCCCCTGGGTGAAGCCTCAGGAAAACGGTCCTGTGACTAGAAAGGAAGAGGCCCCTCTTCTGAGCTTCCATTCTGTGCACCTGGTGGAGAGCACAGTCCCTGACCTCAGAATGGCCATGGATGGACAGCAACTGATGTGGCCCCATACATGGGGGACAGGCTTCCCAACCAGGACCACTGGGCCCCCAGCAGCAGGCCATGGACCCAGACAGAATTCAGCCCAGGGCCTCCTCATTGAACTGTTCAACAAACTGAGAGGAAAATGCAGAATGGGGAATACCCTGTGTCACTGCATTGTATCAATACAGAGACAGCATAAGTCAATTAACCATAAAAAACGAACATTGTACAAAGTCTAAAGCTATGAAAAGTGTGTGTGGGGGTGTGGAATTAATATAAGTCTAAAAGGCAACTTTAGTTCATAAGCAGACAATTCATACAAGAATAAGCAAAATCGGCAAACACGTGTAAAAACGTTAGCCTTGTTAATAAATAATGAGGTAAAAATTAAAGCTAAATAAAATCTGGACACCTATGTGGGGAGGACTGTGGAAGTCACACCTAAGCTTATGCCATTAGCAGAAGTGTTATTTTTATTTCTGGACGTCAATTTTGCAACAGAGGCCAATAAAGGTGTTCCTCACGGAGGCCATCTATCAGCAAGGCACCCTGTCAGGCAGGCACCTGAGGTGATTCAGAGATGGGCCAAACCTGGATCGTGTCCTCAAGGAAAGGGGAAAGCAGTGAAGACATGAAGAAAGCACAGAAGTGGCAAGGCTGCAAGCTACAAGCAACATCACAGGACAGGACATGGTCCCCTCACTTGATGGCTGAGGAAACTGAGGCCAGGAAGGTGCAGGGCTTTGCCCAGGGTCCCCCAGCAGCATGTGACAGAACTTGACTGAACACTAAGCGAGATGCTCCTGCAACCACAACACGCAGTAGTTTCCCAAAGAGGCAGAGCCAGGGATTCCAGGCAGGCTGAACCCTTCCCTCGGCTTCCCAATGGGACCTGAATTTGCTCTGTGCCCTCCCTCCCTGCAATGAGTCGGTCTGCACCAGGCGCACCACAAGCAGCAGAGGACGCAGACAGGGTCCTGACCTCTGCCAGTTTACAGCACATCCTGGGAGGTTGCCATACAGGTCCTTGCTGGCAGCCCGGCTCCGCTCTGGCCTGCACTCCTCGTTCATCTTCCCACCCTGAAGCCTGCAGTGCCTGACCTCAACTATCTATGGAGAGGAGCGTGAGCTGGTGCAACATGGCACAGTATCAGAGACTGTTTCACATAGGTGGACAAGTTGACCTTACCCTTCAAGGACACAGGGTGTGTACTTTCCGAGCAGAGGGGAGGATACTGTAGGCAGGAAAACATTAACCCAGATACTAGAAGTAGAAGAGAAAGGATTGTGAAGAGAGCACAGTGAGGCTGGGTCTGCAGAGAATCCAGGTGTGGCGACGAGGAACACGCTTGGGAAGGTGGGGTGGAGGCCTACAGAGGACCTATGACCTAAAAGCCTTCAGCATTTGGAAACTCGTCACCAGGACATCATTTAAAAGCTACACATATCCAAACTGGCCTGTGAAGTCAACACCATTCCCATCAAAATCCCAGCAGAAACTGACCAAATCCCAAAATTCATGTGGAAATTCAAGAGACCCAGAATTTTTAAAAAAAGAAGAAAATTGAAGGAGTCATACTTCTGATTTTAAACCTTGTTAGCAAGCTCTAGTAATCAAGACTGTGTGGTAGCTGCATAAACAAAGGTGAATAGCTCAGTGGAAGACAACTAGAGTCCAGAAGTAAAATCTCGAGTTCATGGCTAAGGGCTATTCGACACTGATGCTAAGACAGTTCAATGGGGTAAAGAACCACCTTTTCAACAAATGGTACAGGGGCCACTGTGCTACATATGCAAACAAACAAACAAACACAAAACAAAAAACCACCACCAACAACAAAACAAAGTTGGACCCTATCTCACAGAAATTAACTGAAATGGACCAACGAATAAGAGTAAGAGCTAAAACTATAAAACTCTTAGAAGAAAACACAGGCCTAAAACCTAGTGACCTCAGACCAGGCAGTAGTTTTGTAGATTTGAAAGCAAAGGCACACCCAACAAAGGAAAACAGAGACAAGTAGAACCCCAACTTGGAGTTGTCTGTTTCAAAAGACACCATTAAGAAAATAAAGAGTATAAGTAAACCATGAGGGAAAGCCTTCGAATACAGGAAAAACTGGCACAGGACAGAAACTCTATATGGAAAAAGTGAGAGAAAGCCTCCATTCATCCCACTTCCCTTTACCAACATGAAAGAAGTTCATTCTAGCCCTCACGAGAGTTCACAGTTTTAAATTTGTTATTAGTGAAACATGGGATGTTATCTGCAGTTACCTTCATTCCCTCCACAGGTATGACAGGTGATGGTACAAGTAGAGGAGGTAACTAGAAGAGTTGTGCTAAAGGGTTCATTATACTCTGTGGTTTTTCACACTTTGGCAGTGGAAGAAGGTAGGTCACAAGTTTGAGCCACTTCAAGCTATATAGCTCCCTGGGCTACAAGGGAAGATGCTGTATCAATGACTAACAACAAAAAACATGTCATTGGGGAAATAGGACAATGTTGCACATTTTAACAAAATGAGTAAAGGTGCAGTAAAAATTCCTCATGCAGTTGAATGCTGTAAAATAAGTAAAATGATTAAGTTGTAAATTTGTGCAGAATGTTCCAAACCACGCAACCAAAGGGAATATTCTAATAGATATAGGCATCTTGTGTATCCTTCCTAATGAACTGTGGCCTGTTTATTTCTAATTTTTACTCCTGAGGAAAAGCTCCATGCTGACTCATTCTGGAGTCTGCCTATAAACTTGGCTCCATGGGAACCTGTGGCAGGACCAAGCTTAAACTAGTATTTGGACACTACCAACACCCCGTGTGAAACAACAGCTCAGTAAGAGGAAACTAGGTGCATTAAGGTGATACTCTTTTGTAAGTTGTGTTAAAGTGTTGTATTTGAGTCTCATGGGGACTGTCTTAAATCAGTTGATTAGGTATTTATGCTTTGACTTAGAACTGTGTTGGATTGATGAGTACATTCATATATTGTAAATTTCCAACTTGGCTTAAATTTTATGCAGCATTTGAGTAATAAATGCACATCATTAATGTGTCAGTGAAACATAAGTGTTGCTGGGCTATCACCTGCATCACCATGGTTATCACCTGTAATCCTAGCTACTCAGGAGAAAGAGATGAGGAGTCATAGTTCAAGGCCAGCATGGGCAAAATGAAAGTGAGACCTTATCTCAAAAATGACCTTTGCAGTTACTGATCACTCCTTTCAGTCTTGCTGTCTTGCTATGTATTTTATTTTTTACTGATATGATATGTTTTTATTTCTTTTTCTTTGTAATTGTGTTTCTATTAGAAATGTGTTCTTTTATAATTACATAAGATATTACATAAAATATCTAATGGTTATAATGTGTAAAATTTAGCAAACAAAAACTTAGCTGTAATTGAATAAAAAAATTCTTACTCTAAAAAAGAAAGTAAAAAGAAAGCCTACAGAATGAGAGAAAAGTTTTGCCAATCATTTCTCTCCTAGGGACTTGTATGTAAAATGCATTAAAATATTCCTAAAGCTCAATTATAAAAAGACAACCCAATTAAAAAGTTAGCAAAGGATCAGAACCAACATTTTTCCAGAGAAGACATGCAAAAGCCCATTAGGGAAATGAAAACTACAATAAGATATCACTACACACTCACTAAGATAACTAGAATAAAAGAAAAACAGCTCCTCTGAAAAACAGTTGGGAAGCTGGGCCTGGTAGAGCACACCTGTAATCCCAGCTACTGGGGAGGTAGAGAACAGGACGATCTCAATCTGAGGCCAGCCCAGGGAAAAAGTGCGAGACCCTATCTGAAATAACTGAAGCAAAAAAGGGCTGGGGGCATGACTCCAGTGAGAGAGTGTCTGTCAAGCAAGTGTGAAGCCCTGAGTTCAAACTCCAGTTCTGCCAACAAATAAACAAATAAAAAAACCCAGTTGGGCAGTTCCTCAAAAAGTGAAACATGGAGATCCCATGTGACCCAGTAATTCCATACTTCGGTACAGACTCAAGAGAGCTAAAAGCATGCCTGACAAAAACCAGCAGGCCAATGTTCATAGCAACATCACTCATAGAGGTCAGAAAGTAGAAACTGCCCAAAGGTCCGGCAGTTGAGTGAATAACCAAACTGTGGTACAGCTGCATGCTGGCACGTTATTTGGCAATAAAAGATGAAACAACCTCGAGAGCATGATGCTAAAGGAAAGAAGCCACACAAAAGATGACAGATGGCTTGACCCCATTCATAGGACTACCCAGAAGAGGCCAAGCCATGTGAGGGCAGTCAGTGGCTGCCTACAGATGGCGGGGTGGCAGGGAGGGGCAGGAAGCAATGTAGAGCGACTGACACCACACACAGCATTTCTTCTGTGGTCATGAAATGTTCTAGAAGTGATTCTGGTAGTGGTTCCCAAATCTGTAAATACTCTAAAAAATCACTGAATCATGTATTTTAAATGGGTGAATTAAATGGTATTTGAACGATATAGTAAAGTAGTTACAAAAAACCGTACATAAAGCATGAACTCCACCTGTGCCAGTGCCTTGTACACATGCTTGTCTGGGCACCACTGGGCCGAGGTGCTGGGGGCTGCGTGTGTCCTGCGTGCTCCCCATGTCTACGCATGAGCGTGACCTTGGGTAAGTTCTGTAATCCCTACAGAGTCATCAGGCCTTGTTTTTCTCATATGCAAAATTGGTATAATAATACCCATTTTCTAAAGATAAATTATATCATTTATGGCAGGGGCTAGCGCACAAGAAACACATGATAAATCTCAGCTATTACGATTATTAGCCAATACATACCACAGCAACCAGCTAGGAGCAATGCATGCATCAAGAACACTGTGCTGCAAGACAGCATGGACTTGCTCCGCCAGGTGACAGTTACAGCAGGTGTGTGGTGTACAGGAAGTGCGAGCAAGAAAATGACAGACAGAAGGTGGGTCCCAAATGGGCTGACTGTGGGAAGTAAAGTGTGACTGACAAAGAGGAGGGCAGCACCTCGTAAGCACATCCCGAGTACGGGAAGAGCGCGCTCTGAATTTTCTTTGTATTTGTTTTTTATTCACCGCTTCACTGTTGTGCATGTCCAACGTTGGCAGCAAGTAACTAAAAAGAAGGCAAGTGAAGCTACTTTCCGCCACACTAAGGAGGTTAAATATCCAGGGGCTGTGAGGCACCGTCTCACCACCACTGCCACCAGAACCGCAGGACCAGAAGCACAGCAGCCTGGGGGCCTGAGGCAGCTTCTGCTGCATTGGCATTCATAGACATATTTCAGCACTGCTCAAGTGGTCACAATATTTAGTCAAATTCAAGTCTTTTAGACACTAACTTCTACTGTCTTTCTGGTTCAGTTTTCTTGTTTGCTCTACAACCCCACAGTGGCCCATTATGGCCCTTGTAGTCCTGGTGTCTTTTGATTCTACCCTCCTTTTTGCTTCTGGGTTTTGTACCAAGCTTGGGGGCAGTGGCACCAGAGGATGGATTAAAGACGAGTTGTCACCAGATTCCCAGTTCCATTCCTGAGAGAGACCAGTGAGCAGGGAGCACGGTTCTAAGAGAAGAAGGGCCTGCTCATTAACACACTGCCACCCCTGGAGAACCCAGGTGGACAGGCATCACAAGCAGCAGGCCCTAGTCTCGGGCATGCAACGAGACTTCCTGAACTGGTTGCAAAGAAAAATGCACATAAGAATATCCCAAGTCTGGCAGGAAGGAGACTCTTCCCGTGATGAACAGGGCTAAGGGCGACTCACGTGTGTCCACCGTCTCCTGAACTGGGATGAAGCCCACAGGCAGCGTGTCCTTGGCGTCGATAAGCTTCATGTCCACTAACACGTTCCCCAGATGACTCTTGGGAGGAAGAAAAGAGATAAGACTACTCATCTGAACACACCTGTGGTAGATTTGCCATTTTGGCTTCAAGATGCATATTTAACACAAAGGCTCATGCAGCTTTATGACAGCGGTTAATTAGAGTAGGTGACACTTAATGTTCCCTTGCAGTAACACAGGGACTCTGGTGGCCCCGCGAAGGAGTTTCATGTGAAGAAGGAAGCTCGAAGCAACTCACTCAGACATGGCATTGGTGAGCTGGATGTGTGACGGAGGAAACAATGCAGACAAAACCCAGCAGAGGGCAGCTGTGCACACGACCCTGCACCTGGCTGCCACTCAGCCCTGAGCGTGGCCCCTCAAGCCAGCAGGTTTTCAGAAGAGCAGCTTCCTGGGGTACCATTTGTAGGGAGAGGGCTGTTTCTGAGTGGAATGGGGTCCAATCACACCCCCAAGTGATCACCAGGCTGCGTACTGAAACACATTTGGGTTGCTAGGTACATTTTGCAAAATCCCAAGAACCATAAACTAGTACAGTGAAAGCCCTGCTGCTTCAGTAGTACAGTCTTCTGAAATGACATGTGCAAGGGCCTCTTAAACCTTCTATTTGGTGGTGGTATATGGGGTCCACAGTGCACAGTTTCTGTAGCCAGTATAAACCCATCTTTCCAAGACAGTGCACCATTCTGTAATTGCAAGAGAGAATTCTTTTTGAACACGCCAGCACTTGCAGCTCACATTTCATGTTAGAAACAGTCCTAAAGAAATCTGCCCTAAACTTAAACACACGGGGCCATCATGCAGATTTCATTAACATCTTCAGAGTCATTTGCAATCCAGTCCCCCATCTCTAGTCAGAGCCAGTTAAGGAAAGAATGATGGGTCCCCATCCCAAGTCTCTCCTGTTAGGATACTAGCAATGCACTCACATGTCCATTTTCCAGAACTGCGTATCACCAAAGCCCAGCCTGACCCATGCTTGGTTGAACTGTCTGCAGCCTGGACAGCTCCAGCTGGTCAGCCCGTGTTCTGCCCTTGGTGACAACCCCTCTAGCCACTGTTCCGATCTTGCTTAGAGAAGAAGGGCTCCAATTCCATCTCTGTGAACAGGCAGGCCAGACCCTACCTCTACCTGTACCATGCCAACATCTCCAAAAGCCACCAGGGAGTTCCTGCCATCTAAACTAAGCTTGCATTTTCATGCTCTTTTTAACTTCATGTCACTTTAGAATTGTGTGTTTGTGAAGTTCTTTGTTTAATATCTGTCTGTCCACTAAAGCTTAAGAGCCACAGGGACTAAAATGATTTCTGTTCCTGCTAAAAGTCCAAGCCCAGCATAGCTCTTCCCCCACTATAGGAGCTCAATAATTATTTGCTGAATAAATGAATGTTTTGGGCACAGTTTTCAATTCATGGGTCACTGACAATCAGAAATCAAATCAGATTTGCTTGGATGGCAAACCATATCATAAAAATCCTGAAAGTAGGTTTAATAAATACATTATGAGTCAAAGGTACACAAATGAAATAAATTCCTCAAACTGAAATATGAAAGTCCGTGTGGCGAGTGTAACCCATGACTGGTGTTCTCATGGTCTGTCATTGCGAATCTGTTCCTTTCTCCCCACCATACTGCATCTGTCAACGCTTAACATTATTACATCTCAGGTGGCTGGGTCTCAGGGAGACAGTGTACAGCGTGGTTCAGCAAATAGAAAGTGGAGCCTTCCCTAGTGTGGGATAAATCCCTGACCGTGCAGGAAGGTTTGAACTGCTAACCCAACTCGCAAACATCAGCTGCTTTCAGAATTGCCTGATCCAATCTATCATAATTTCTTTCCTTGGCAGTTGCTTTTCTATGTCATCACTGCTTTCTGCATTGAGAAATTAACAACTGGGTATGTTTTGCTGCCCGTGGATGGATGGGCATTCATCAATATCCTTCTCCATCGTCTTCCACGTGACAAGTCGGGTTTTGCAGAAGTCAACTGCAAACCACTTAGCGACCTCACCCTCCACACTCTTCCAGACGTCCCTGATCATAAACCAGAGCATCGGTGGCGCAGACATGAAAATGAGCCCAGCAAACCCTCCTGTGCATACAAAACGGGAGGCTGTGCCGCCAAAGGTTCCTGCAACCCAAGTATGTCCCTCCACGCTGCCGGCTGCCACTGTGCAGGTTTAATATGGTAGGTCTGCGACACCATTAATTTTGCTTGTTCCTCTCCCCTCCCCCACCCAACCTCTCTTTCATTTCCTCCTCATAAATATGAAGAACGTATTCCCAATCCTTGTTGAGCACATGATTCATGCCAAAAGCCCAATGCACACCGACTCAGGGTATTTATATTGTCTCTGGTAGCCAGTGCTTGCTAGTATACTGTAATTATTTTTGACAACCTTGCATTTAAGGTAGCCACAGATAACCAACTTAATATTCAAATGTTCATAAATCCTTCTGTTTAATATCCTCCCTACCTAATCTATGTACATTATTATTACAGGTAATGCAGAAAGTACAGGGCATGAAAAGTGCAATTAATCTCTATCCTTCCCCAGGAAGCAATGTCACTCCAAAGCCAGGTTTCTGTATTAATAGCATTATTGGAAAAAAGGAATTTAGGTTCCAAAGGAGGCTCCCAAAACTCCTACACTGGGAGTCTCAGGTTGCCTAATTAAGAATCTGGTGGGTCTTGAGATCCCCACCCTCCCACACGGTTGTAAACATGACGCTCTGTAAAGCTCTAGCTCAGATGGCAGGGCCAGGACACTGCAAATGATGAATGTGTGCCTGCTCCTGTCTCACACCTGGGCTGACAGGTGGGCCTGCCACTCCCTACTTTGATCCCAGATCAAATTCGATCCTTTGATTTGATTGTCTGGATCCCGTGTAGGGATTTACCTTCCAAAAACAAAACACCTACTTCCCACACTGTGTCAAAGCCAGGCAGCTTCTCTTGCTGTGTTCCTTATCTCCTTACACCCCTCGCCACCCCCATACATGGCTGTGGACCATCTGCAAATGGTGCTCAAATCAGCTTTCTATAACATGCTTACTTGGGACATCAGAAACTAACAAGCCCCAGTGACTTCTCTTTGTCATGTTGGACTTGTCACAGTGACAAGTTCTTCTGCCTAGAGAACCAATGCCCCTCTGTCTGGAAGGGCAAATGCAACAAAAACCAAAGCCAAAAGTGATCACAGAGATGGTGGTTGTCCTCTGAGGCCAATGAATTGAAGCCTTTGTCAGGACAGGTGAGGCTGATTACAGACCAAGAAGGAACACCTAGAAACCACGAGGGCCATGGGTGGGTGGACAGGCTCTTGTCCAAGTCCTCAGGACTTCCTCCTCACAGCCCCAGCTGCAGGGAGTATGCTGACCTTCCGCAGGAAGCAGTGGAGCTAAAAACAGAAAGCACTTTTAAAAAAGAGCCTGGGTAAGCTCCAGGGACAAAAAGGCTGGGGAGGGCCCCATGGAGGTGCAATGGGAAGGACCGGGTGATGGGGCCTACTGACACCCTCCTGAGCCGAATGCCTGGGAAAGCAATGCTGGCTTCGGACTTGTCCCATGGGGTCTCCTCAGTTTCCGAGGAGCTGCACAGATGCACCACAAGCTCCTGGTACTGCAGGCATCCAGGCATCCGCCCTAGCTCAGCGGCCATCTTCCTGGCATTGAAAACGCAGAGAAGACTCCAAGCTTAGCGCCAGCACCTCCCCACTCAGCACAAACTCTTCACAATGAGCTTCCCTTCTTTACATTAGGGGAAAGTTAAAACAATGACTTCTCCCCAGTCCTGACACATTAAGGAATGACTCTCCTGACCAGCAAGCAACAGGAACGGGCTGGGGATGGGAGGGTAAGTCAGAGAGCCCTGTGGCAGCCCACAGTCAGAATGTTGAAGGCTGGACACACCTAGACCTGTGCCAGAGCCCTGAGCTGGGGGCTGTGATGGAGAGGAAGAATTCTCCCCTTCCATGCTTCTGAACAAGAATGTTTAGGGTTATGGTTGGATTATCTTTTTAGCCATACTGCTGCTATAATTAAATGCATAAAAATAAATTGGTAAAAAAAATAAGCATTTGTATTAGGAAGAGAAAAACCATTCAGGCCAAAGATAAACCGTCCTCTCTGTAAATGGACATTTGAGGGCTCACTATGTGGGGGCTCGGAAAGACAGGTGACCTATGACAAGCCCTAACTTTCGACTCAGTGCCTGCATCTATGGAAAAGGGGTAAGCTGGAGGAGATCATTTGAGGAGGGAGCAAGAGGCATTTGCAGAGTGCCCAGGGTGGGGGGGTTGCGGGGGGAATGCAGGTAAGATGCTCACTAAAGCTATTTCTCTTTTTCCTAGACTCTAGGTATCTCTAAAGTTTCCTCATTTATTGACCCAAGTATCAAAAAACAGCATACTAAGAGCAATTTTGTAGCTAGGACTCAGAGAGAAAGAAAAGTCCCTTTGGAAACAGGCCATGATAGGATGGGATGAGGCCAGGGCATAGTCAGTGGGGCCTCCCTTGGGCTGCCATCGGCTGGCCAGCATTAAGTCAGCTGCACTGGCGACTGTCCCATCCACGGTGCCCAGTGATTTGTTGCTTGGAGGAAAGGTAGGCAAATGAGAGCTGAGAGAAAAATTTCCTGGTTTCCTTTGGAGAACACATTTTAATGGAATTCACTGTACACTTGGGCATGTGGTTAATAATACTCTTAAATGAAACACAGTGCTGGCTGCTGACTCTACCCAGTTCACTAAAACCACAGATAAATTAATATGGCAATGAAAATAAACCACAACAAAAAAAAAATGAGGAAATTCCAAACAGGAATGTAAATTACTGGTGCTCACTCAGCAAACAGAAACCACCACTAGACTTACATTTTCTTTGGAAAATGATCTTGTGAAACACAGGTATCTGGTAACCTTGGACTTGAATAAGCCGTCTTTCCAGAGGTCAGCATCCACGCCATCTGCCGTCTGTGCCACCTGCACCAGAGAGACAGAGAAGAGGGTCGCAGGTAAGGCAAGATGGAACTGGAGGTGCGAGCGAGCACTTCTTCCATACCTTTTCCAATTAACACTGGCCCGAACTCTCCTGGCATCTCATTAGTTCATTTCACTACGCACGGGGAAGAGAAGTTCCAAAAGGGGAAAAGGGAGAGTGTGAAAAATACAACTTCTAAAAATATTGTCTCTAGGGAAGCCATTGATTAAAGACACCCTGACAAAAATGCTTCTAATGAGAAAACCGCCACTTTTGTTGTAAAGGACCAAGAGGGGACTGGGTACGTCAGCACATTAAGCTGCTTATTACCACATACTCAAGGTGCAGGGGAAAGCCCAATGGGGTGTGAAATGCACCTGAGGGGGGCACCCCTGTGGTGAGTGGATGACCTCCTGCCCGGTGAAGGGGGTTCTGCTGGGACTGTAGGGAGATGGTCAGGAAAATAGGCTCTACACTGCATCTTCCTGGTACAAGCCCTGAAAGTGGAATTCAAGGTGGCAAACTACATCACAGAGGAAACATAGAGACAGACTCAGTCCCTGTTTCTCGTCTCACTAGGAAGCCATTTTCTCCTACCAGCTGCAATAGGAATTCTCCAGGAAGCGTTCGCGGGTAGAGGCAGCCTCGCTCTCATTACTGCACTGGGTGGGTGTTAGCATGTCCGCACTGTGTTGCAAAGTGAACAAAAGGTTGACAACGAGTCAGGGGAGCACAAGGGTGCAGGACCTGCTGTTTTCTTTCTCTCCAGGCTGCTCTGTCACTAGATGTCCAGGGGTGGGTCTCTGCACTCTCAATGTGACATTACAGCACTGAGCAAGAGTGGTCAGCTGCCACTCTATAGCCAGCACCACAAAGGAGGCATCGGGAAAGCCCAGGGAACAGCCACATTTTGACTGTTTGTGATTGTCCTTTTCAGGTTTGCAGAGGGATCCAGTCCTTGATCTGACAAACTCCTGGCCATTCTGACAGAGTGCTGACAACAGCCCCATTCTTTACACAAACCGCCTTGATCTAGCCTGCCCTGTGCAGACAGAACGGCAGGACTGCAGCAGCCCGCCACCTGCACTGCGGTCCACAGCCTCTGACAAACACACGGTTCGAGGGAGGGGAAGGGGCTCCTCCAAACATTCCCAGAGCCCACCTCTCTGAGGCTGCCTCAGAAAAGCCAGAAGGCCAGCTGGCCCAAACAACAACAACAACAACGAAACTGTTTTCCAACTGCATGATTGTCAAGTAGCAAATAAAAGTGCCCCAGGATGGGCAAAGAAACATCCTTGTGCTACAGATACCAATCTATCTGATCTGAAAGCTGAAGAGAACTGGTATGGGGATAATTTTAGGAACTGTTTGCTCTAAGTATGAGTGTGTTGAATCCCCCACCCTACCCCAAACCACCACACCACAGAAAGAAACACAATGGGGCAGAGATCGGACTGTCCACCTCAAGATTCCAGCAAAGTACGAAGTTTCTGGCTGTGATTCCCACCCCGCCTGTGTGCCTTGCCCTCCCCACTGGAAGAGGATGGACCCAGGATGAGCCAGCCACACAAAGATGCTTATTAATGTAAATTCCCCCTAAATCGAAGGAGCTAATGATCTACAAGACAAACGTGCAAAGAGAGGTCACATGACTGACCTGAGATAGCATCTAACCCTCAGAGAGACTGGGTGTTCCTATAGTAGCTCATAGCCATGGGTCCCAGGACTACAAAGGTTGCGGGAGGTGGGAGTAGGGAGGAGGACCAGGGAACAGGCAGCATAAAGTTCACAGGCAAATCTGGACTTAAACACAATGGCTTCAGTAAAGCAGATGTGCTGCCCTCCCTGGGAGTCACTGGGCTAAGGGAGATGCTGCAGGTGCAAGAACCCACCTCCGGTGAGAACTCCTCATAGGTGAGTGCTACCAAAGACGGCCCTAGGATTTCCAACTAGCTGTGAGGACACCCAGGCTTTCTTCGTTTTGTGGGCTGGGATGGAACACAAGTGTGCTAGGAAGTGCTCTACCACTGTGCTTCACCTCCAGCTGGCAAGTTCTTAAAAGTGATGTCACAAACATCAAGATTCATGAAATCCTAAATCACCGAATGGGCTCAGCTCAGACTCTGGTCCTCTGAGATTCCTCCCCATTTCTGGGCCTAAATTAGGTCTTTCAAATGCAAATGCTGCTCTGTCTGACTAATGTTGACTTGCCTGACATCCTGCCAGCCTACAGGCTTCCCCAGGACCAGGCATGCCTGTTATGCTTATCATTTAATCCTGGGCCGCCCATGCCTCCAAGTGGCTCAACCTAAACTCAATACAGGAACGAGTGAACGAGTCAAACACTCAGTCACAGGGAAGTGTGTGACGCCACATAGCCCACTGGCTACCCAAGGAAAGTCGTAAGAGCACTGTAAATGAAGCTTTCAGGATTGTACCCATAGGACTTCTTTAATACAGAGGCTGCCCTCCCTCCACCTCCCAATCACCACTCTGTGAGGCACCCATCCATTCAACCCTGAGGCCACTCATTCTTCTGGTCATCCCTGTCGTGTTCCCAACAAATGCTGCTGCAGGCTGCAGTGCCTCCATAGCCTGTTATAGTGCCTGGCGCACACGTATCTACATGTACACTCACACCTGCTCCCTCCAGCCTTTCTTCCCTGGGTCAGAAGCCACCTGAGGAGCAAAAGGATGTGGTTAAATAACCAAGGCAGTGGCAGATCTCTCTTTCCTGGCAATATTCTTCTAAAACAACCAGCAGAGAGAGCAGGAACTGGCTCAAATAAAGAGCAAGAGAGAAACACAACACAGGAGGGTCGCCAGCCAATGCCTGGAGGTGAGAGAGGAAGGAGGGGACTCACTTTTCAGAGCCCAGACCCAGAGCCACCAGGTGCCTGTGGGGTGGGGAGAATGAGCTCAGGGCTGCGGTGGGTGGATAGGAACAAGATCCATTAACAAAGCAGTGGAACTTCGGACCCCCTCCCTACACACACACACACACACACACACACACACACACACACACACACACCAGCTGTTTCTGCAGAGTCTGCAGGAATGGCACAGAACCCGCCCTGTGGGGGAAGGGGCAGCAGGAAGGGATATGGCTCTGGACTAAAGGCGGGAGGTGCCCCACCACTGCCATGCTCACCCTCTGGCTGGGGTCTCCCTTAGCGCTGGATACTGGAGGACCCATTTGGAGAAGCATAAGTTTTCCCAGGGTGCAGATGCTGGCTCCCTGCTGTGTGCCTCAGCCACCCACCCACAGAACTCCAATCCATGAGCCAGTGCCTTGATCCTAAATATCAGCTAACAACAGAGGGCCACCAGGCTCTGGGGGAAAGTCTCAACCATGAATGAAGTACCCAAAATACAAAACAGGGAAATTGAAAGTAGTGCGAATAATAGGAAGAAGCCACGAAAGCTAAGAAACAATCAAGCCTGTCATGGAAACCCTTGGGAAGGAGTACTGCATCCAACAAAGAAAAACAGAATGCTGTGAAAATCCTTAGGAACACTTTGAGAACGATAAAGAAATAATAGAAACAGATTAGAAACTTAAAGGCTGGCACTAAAATTTAAAAACTGGAAGAGAAAGTCAAGGACATTTTTCAAAGGTAAACCACAGAGATGAAGAGACAAAATACAGGATAGAAAAAGTAAAAAGACAGAAGGAGCAAACTACCCCACCCCCCAACAAAAGTTCCAGAAAGAGACACAAAAACAGGGAGAGTGAGCCTCTGCATAACCCGCAGCAAAGCATACACTCCCACCAAGCTGGGCATAAAGAAATCAGCTGCAGAGAGGAATAGCAGGTTACCTAGAGAAGAAGGGCGTCAGCTGCCCAGGCTTTGCAATCGCAGTGGGAGACTAAAGGACAGGGGGACACTGCTCTCTGTCTTCTGAGAAAGGCTGGAAATCCACACCTAGGCCAACTATCAACCATGTGTGAGTGAGGCTTGCCTCAGCCCTACAAAAGTAGAGCCCTCTGCAGCTTGCAAGGCCTTGAAAAGTGCATCTTTCTAGGGGCCTTCCTAGGATGCTACTGGAGGGCACACATGCAAAACTGGGGATTAAATCTGGGAGGAAGAAACTGAACTCTAGCATTTGAGGGCAGAACACCCAGGCCTCCAGAAAGAAGAGAAGAGGTCACAGCAGGCAGTCTCTAGGGGAGGGGAGACTGAGTCTCTAGGGGATTGGGGTGACCTAGAGCTGCTGCCAAGTGCTTGGAAGAAAACAGAGATACACAGGGGACAAAAATGTTGGAGCTGGAAAAATGTGACCCGTTGAAACTACACCAGGAATGGGGAGAGGGGAGATAAAGGAGAATGACGGAGTGAATTCAACTATGATATATTGTAAGAACTTTGGTAAATGGCGCAATGTACCCCCAGCACAACAATAATACATAATAAAAAAAAAAGTATTGGAACTTTCAGAAAGTAAAACAATGGGCATGAAGCTACTTGAAAAATTATTAATTTAAAATTAAAAAGAAATTTTTAAGCATTCAATTTAAAAATCAATAGGGATCTGGACAACTAAGCAAATGAAACCAGTTGGATTCATTCCAAGAGAAATAAAGGTGGCACAAGAAGAAAAATATGCTCCTAGTGTGTTGCTTGACTGGGAGACACCAACGTGTGCTCTGGACAGTGTTAAACACTGATTAAACACGGATTACCCAACTTTGTGAAATCGTAAGAGCTCAAAATGTCCAGGATAAGCAAATCAAGAAACAAGCAGTATCATCAAATTATTTAGAAATATGGAGCTAGTGTATCAGGGAGGGAAAAATCTAAGAGTTAAAGCAACTGTCTCTGGGTGGTGCAGGGGAGCAGTGCAGGGAGGCCAGGCAGAAAGCGCAGTTCAGTGGGACAGTGCAGGGAGTGCAGTGCAGAGAGGCAGTGCAGGGGGCAGGAAGAGCAGTGCAGGGAGCAGTGCAAGGAGGGCAGGACGACATCTTTTCTCATAAGCCTTTGGTGCTTTCGCTTTTCGT